TGCGAAATGGCCATACTTATGCTACACATCGATGCTTACTATGTCACGATGAACTACCACGATGTCGCCACTGCAACACCGCGCTTACAGTGGAACATGTGCTGGTATGCTGTCCCATACTACGCGTCGAGCGTCTGAGGCACTTTGGCCCGGCGGCGCCGTCCCTGACGCTCTCCGATTTATTATGTGACAGCTCACCATATATCGAGCATACCCTCAGGTTCGTATCACATGTTAAGTTCTGCACTTTATATACACCTGCCTGAATAGTTCATACCGCGTGTAGGAAGTTTTTAGGTTGCCGAAAATTTTGGTATCAATGTGTTATTATGGGTTCACGTATTCGGGCACCATTGGTGACGCGTTCCTGTCACAACTCAACCGTTTTCATTTCTAATATACATTTTTAGCCATTAACTGCCGTAGTTAGTCATTTAGCTGTTATAGGCGCAAAATAACCACAGTAGTCGGCGCGCCCTAAAACTCCAATCAACAACAACAACGACTTCTCCAAGATGGCGGCGACTTTCACGTACAGACGGCAAGTGAACTCTCTCTCTCTCTCCCTCCCTCTCTCTCTCTCTCTCCCTCTCTGCATATATATATATGTAGGTATGTGCGTATGTATATAAGATCTCACGTTTCTTGGATATCACGGTTACCTAGAAGCAGGGGTGGATCCAGAGGAGGGCCACAGGGCCATGGTCTCCCCTTGGGCCCCGAAGGTGCCCATTGGCTCTGAGGGAGCCCATCGCCGGCCGAACAGGTGCCGTTGTTTTTTTACACAAAACGCAATACAACTAGATATCTCTGGACTTCTAGGCAGCCAGGAACAGTCGTAAGTGGAAGTGAAGGGCCTATGAAAGGTACAAAATTGTTCTGTCGTGTATTGCGTTACTAGTGCGCGCGCCTGGGCGCGCCTCTGCGGCCGACCGCTGCGGTCAGCGGTCACCGGGACGTCTGCCGACTGATAACGGTGAGAGCGCGCGTACATCACGCTGGTGGCAGCGAGTGGGGGCATGCCAAATGGAGTTGAGGGAGAAATTGGCGTGGGTGATGGGGAAGAGCTGAAAGACTTCTTGCGACGGTTGGATGCCTGTCGGCTGGCGGTGAGAGACGAAAAGAAGGCGGCGGGGAAGGTGCTTCTCGGCCTCGGTTCGCGGATTGCGGTGATGGGTGCGCTGCCAGAAGAGGACACAAGGGATGTTCGGAGCCTGAAGTCGGCGCTGCGTCGTCATTTCTGCCCGTCCCAGAGCTGGTATAAGGAAAGGCTCAGCCAGCGACGTAAGCAGCCCTCCGAGACATAAGGTATGTTTCTTTCCGATTTACTCTCTCTGTTCCGTGGTGCGTTTCCCTGGCTCGAAGCCTGACACGTCTGGTGGAGCCGCTCTCTTGAGGAGTCGGTTCTTGGATGGCATCTCGTCAGATGTTGCGGCACAGTTCCGTCTGTTGTATCCCAGCATTGACGTTGATAAGATGCCGATACATGCAACACAAATTGAGAAGGCTGTCCATCGCTCGCCGGCTAAAGTCAGTCAAATTGTGGAGGGATCTGCGGTAGAGAAGAGAGCGGTTAATCATCTCCGGGACGAGGTAGCCTGCCACGTGACCCGGCCAAGGTCAGCTGGGCGGGCGGCCGACAGGAGCGTGCACAAGGGGAGGGCAGCGGTGCGGCAGGGCCGGGCTGGCCGGCGTCCGGGTCGGGCCGGACTGGCTTCCGGGGCAGACAAATGCGATGCTGGACATGTGGTTTTTCTGGCCACCGGCAGGTGGAGTGTACTCAGGCTCCATTGGGTCGCGGCCGGGGGCGACCGGCCCCCGTTGTCTGCTGGCGTTGTCGTGAGTTTGGGCACACTCAGCATGATTGTCATCAGGCTTTAAACTGAGGAAGGTTACTGCCGCGGGACCGGTGGTAGCCGGACCCAAGGTCAAAGGTCCTCACAATTCGCAGGCCCGTTCGCTTCATGTGCGTGGTCGCATTGCGAAACTACATTGCACGTGGTTGGTTGATACGGGAGCAATGGCTACCTGTGTGTCGGCATCTCTTCCGGGGGTCAGATCGTTACCACTCAATCCAGCGGCTGTACACCCGATCGCAGCCAATCGCACGACATTGAAATATATTGGAATGGTTTCGGCAAACGTTTTGCTCAGTCCGGCAGCGATGAATGACGTTCAGGTATTGGTGGTGGAAGATTTGGCCGCTCCGGCCATCCTTGGATATGATGTTCAGGCGTCGTTTAAGTCCTTCCAGTGAACTACACGAGCGAGTGCTGTATCTAGGGGATTTTCGCGTACCGCTGGAGGAGCGGTTAGATGGCACTTCGATACAGCCAGTTTCCGTGCACCTTGCATCTGATTTCACAGTGCTACCATTTTCTGAAAGGATCATTTACGCACAAGCTGAGGACTTCCGGTCCATTTCTCGCGATGTTATGTTTGATCCAGATCCTCGACAAATGGAATGTTATGGAATTTCTGTTAGTCCTTGCCTGGCTCGATCTGGGGTGGATAACCGCATTCCAATCCTTGTGGAAAAACCCGGACCAGATTCTGTCCGTCTTTATATCCGTTCCATTCTTCGCAAGGTTGAAGACGTGACGCTGTCTCCAGTGGGGGCTCAAGCCTAAACGGATCGAACCGACAAACGTTGATTTGGCTGAAGCGGAAGTCAGTGAGGGGAGTCGCAGGAAACTGAAGGAGTATATTTGACGGATATCGGGACGTGTTCGCAAATTCTCATGCTGAGCTGGGTCGAACACATCGTGCCCATTTCGGCATCGACACCGGCGGGTCGCCACCTGTTGCAGTTAGGCCAAGAAGAACCCCATATCACCGACCGGCCGGCCGCCGATATCACCGACCGACCAGCCGCCGCAGTCAGCGATCATCGGAACGTCTGTCGACTGATACCGGTGAGAGCGAGCGGATATCACAATTCCATGATTGGAAAAGTTGTGAACTATAAATTTTAAGCCTCATTACATTGTCTAGGGGCCCACGCTGCTTCCGGGGGGACCTACATGCCCACTTGCAGGATCATTTCGATCGCTAAGGAGCATTCCACGTTGCCCTTCATTTTTTCGCCTTTGCTCGGAGGGCCCTGTGGTGTTGTTGGGGCCCCTCCTGCTAGCGTGCCTGGGCACCCTTGTCAATCAAGGCCCTACGACGGATTCTTTCCATTCGCTAGAAAGGCTCTGTGGGCTACAGCCGGGGTCCCATATCTGAACCTGACGGGGTATTCTTGGCTGCTCAGGGGCCCTTTGCGTGGGTCTCGGTTAACCTACCGACACACTTGCGATACACTCACGGGCCCTCTACATTGGTCTAGGGCGCTTCCAATTTTGTCACTTGCCTATGAGCCTACACTCTTGTCGGAGGCCCGTCTGATGGCCTGCTCGGACACATTCAGTCGTTCGGGGAGCCTCCACACTGGGCCTTGGGTACTTTTTTTCTGAATGGAGGTCCTACGCTCCTTTGGGGGTCTATTTGATAACCTACTCGGGCACATTCGATCGTTCGGGGGCCCTCTACGTTGGGCCTTGGGCACGTGCTATTAAAATGGGGCCCTACACACTTGTCGGGGGCTCCACTGTTCGCCTCCTCCGCCACTTTAGATTACTCGGGGGAGGGGGGGGGGGGGCTGCACATTGGTGTTTGAATTTAGGGGCCTCTGCTCCTATCGGGGTCATCTGATAACCTGTTCGTGTACACCCCATCTTTCGGGGACCCTCCGCACCGGGTTTTGGGTACTTCTTATTTGAATGGAGGGCCTTAAGCTCCTGTCGGGGCCCCATCTGATAAGGTGATCGGGTTCAGTCGATCGTGGGGAGAACCCTATGTCTGGTTCTGGGTACTTCCTTTTTGAATGGAGGGCCCACCGCTCTTTTCGGGGGCCCTATCTGCCCTAACCTGCTCTCAGGCACTCGATTACTCGGGGTCCTCTACATCGTGTCGTGGGTATTTCATATTTGGACGGAAGGCCCTACGCTCTTGCTGGGGCCCCATCTGTTAACCTGCTTGGGCACACTCGAATATCCGGAGCCCCTCCACCTTGTGTTTTGAGTGCTTCCTATCTAAATGGACGGCCCTACACACTTGTGGGGAACCCCATCTGTTCGCCACTTCGGCGCAGTGGATTGTTCGCGGGCCCTATATATTGGCTTTTGGTGTTTGAATTTCGGGCCCTGCACTCCTGTCTGGACCGCCTGATAATCTGCTCGGGTATGCTCCATGTTTCGGGGGTCTCCGTACTGGGTTTTGGGTACTCCTTATTTGAATGGAGGGCTCTACAGTATTGTTGGGAGCCCTATTTATTAACCTGCTCGGGCACATTCGATCGTTCAGAGCCCTACACATAATGCCGGGAGCATCTCTTATTTAAATGGATGGCCTATGTTCTTGGCGGGGCCCAACTATTATGCTGCCCGGGCCGGTGGTGGATACAGAGGACGGAGGGGGGGGGGAGAGGGAAGCACGGAACCATGCCTCATGGACCATGCCGAGGGGACCTAAATGCTCCGAAGAGGCCCATAAGCAGCGGGACGGACGCACTTTTCTTACAACGAAAACGCAACAAAATTGGATGTCTTTGGGCCTACAGGCGACCAATAACAGTTGTTAGCAAAATTAAAAGTTCATAAGGAGACCAAGTTCATTCTTCGCTGATTGAGGGAGTGTTGTTTGGGGGAAACTCCGGGGCTCATAACACTGTCTAGAGGCATCACGCTGGTCGACGCGAAGGGTTATTAAATCTGAGTTGTCTGCTTTCGGATGACATTTTCTCGATGCATTTTTGAGGCATTTGAACCTAGTTGAAGTAACGCTATTACCACCTTTATGCAAACATTGTTGTATTTAATTGATCAGTCAGGGTTTCTAAGCGATTTAACACGCAACTTTCGTGAACGGGTATGTCTGCTTGATGTGTCTGTACTTTATTCCCCCGCAATATTACACGTTTATGAAGCCTTGATAGCCCATGTCTGTGTGCTCTCCTGTCATGGGTAAAGGGGTTTGCGTTGCACGAAATGAGTGTTTGCGTTGCAGCGTTGATTCGATGAGGGAATTTCGGGAAGACATTGTGGGTGAAAAAGGTAAATCTGGCTTCGTTCACAGACAGCTAACTGATCAATGGTCATAATGTGACATGCATGGAACACGGCCAAAAATAGGTGAAAGGAAGGGCACTCGGGTATCCATGCTTAGCAGCCAGGTGGCATTCATCTATGAGTATGCTTTAAAAAGATTTGACACTGCTCATGTCATCACAGTCTTGCATTGCTGGTGGCCTCTTAATGCAGTTTGATAGTGGTAATTGATTGCCCTTTGACCCTGGTCTTGGAGGCTTAGATTCTGGGTTGACTGCCACTCAGTTTAATGCGGATTGGCCCATTTTGAGCAAGGGAAGGGACATCAGGCAGTGAACCCGAAGCCTGGTGCATATTAGGATAAACACATACTGACATCTCCATCATCCAAGTGGCCAAATTATGAAACACTGGTAGGTGGCCAGGCAGTTAATTGTGCCAGACTTTTATAATGTGCAGACAACTTAGACTAGAAGGACTAGGAGTCAGTAATTTTCCAGTTTATGTCGGTTTCCCAGTTTCAGTGGGGCATAACCAAGTACCAAGCTGTGCTGAAGCCTGCTAGTGGATTGTGTGCCACCAGATGGTTCATGGCTCTTTCCCAGGCCTCCAACTCTGCTGAGCTGCTTATAACTGAGGCGAGTGGTGCTGATCAGTATTTTTTTGGGTCATGTCAGTGTTCCTTTGTTACACAGGTTATATTTTTCCTGTCAATAGAGTTTCCAGGTTCTATCTATGGGGGTTTGCAAGTTTCTAGGGAGCCTCAATTTCCAAAGAAGAATTGCAGGTGAATTGTTGTGGCTCCATTCTTTTGCAATGACATCACATTATTGACAATGTCCATGGGAGCAGTCCCCCAGGTGTGGAGCTTCTTCACACCTTAATTGATTCTGATCTGTGAATGTATCATGAAAGTACCAGATGCATTAGTTTTTTGGGCACTTGTCAGCATTAAAAACCTATCTGGTTGTTGTATGTCATATGTGGAAGAACCCATTATGAGCATACAATTCAATTCTTGTGTAGCTCTGTGAGAAGAAATCAAAAGTAAAGGTTACTTTTGTTTGGAGTTCTTTTGCCCTGAGTTCTTTAGAAGTTTGTTATGAATTGTACAATGCTAAAGGCAGGCTACCAAATTTTCAGTCTCTGCCAGATGATGAATTACACACTCGGAATAAAATTTCATTTGATAGCTGCTGAATTATGATGTCAGCGAAAACTTGCATGATGAGTTGGCCCCAATGTGCAGTAAGCTGGTGTTTCCTCTGTGTGTTTTTGACCATTATAATGCCATTTATCTGCTGATATGGCTGCCTGCCACCTAGCATCATTCACATTATACAAGGTCACCAGGCCACCATCAGACCCCAGAGGCCGTGTAAGCTCGGGTTTTAAGTCAAAATCAAAACAATTTGGCATTCATTTGTGATTAATTATTATAGCTGTCAATGTGATAACTGCTTTACCAATTGTGTGCCAAGATCCATGAATTGTGTGACATGTAAACCAGGGGAGCAGGAAATGATCTAATAAGGTGACCTTGATCTTGATCTGACATTGCTGATCTGGCATTATCTGGACCCGGCATGACCTTACACAGCCTTGACTTGACATGACCTCAAAATGCCCTTACCTCACCCTCAACTTTGGTGATGTGGAGGCATAGTTTTAAAGCACAACACTTGTTTGGTGCTTTTTGTGTGACCATGTGCCCGCCATTGCATTGGTGAGGGGCGGTGGGTGAAAGCACCCCAAAGGCATTCCAACATTTCGGTAATTTGTCAGGTGTGTTGCATGCCCTATGACATCATCAGTTACATGACTGATTCTAGGGAAACAGTTTCAGGGAGACTTTCTGGGTTTTATTGACCATGCCTATTAAAAGGCATTTCAGATTTTATCACCATATGACTTGAGCCCAAAAGTATCAGCATTTAGTCACTCAGTCCCATAGACAGCCACCCTATTGAACCATCCTCACTAGTCTTTTGGGTTTGGGGGTGGGGCTGGTGAAGGTTGCCAGTTTCCAGACATTTGTTTCTAAAAGCAATGTAGGATGCTGTTGTCCATTGATTCCCTATGTTGCTGTGGGCCTCACATCAAAGTCTGGAGTTGTTGTCATGGTCTGCCTTCTCTCTGCTGTCCCCTGTGCATGTAAATGGACTGTTGTGACGTGCCTGAGGTGGCACTAACCTCCAACAAGTGCAGGCTGATCAGACAGGCTGAAGTGGCAGGAAAGTGATCCGATGGATGAGATACGTCATGATATTGAAGAACTGAAGCAGTCACCTCATGCAGCATGTTGGATTGGTGGGCCATTGCTAGAGGGTTAGGGGTAGGTAAGCTATGTGTTAGCAATGGACAAAACACAGGCTTTTGAACTGATAATTATATATGTGTGTATATTATGCATATCATAACTACCAATCATATATATATATATTTATATGTATATGTATATATATACATGTATGTAAATACATATAAATATATATGATAAGGTTTCAAAATGTAAGAATGTAAAGATTGATGAATATATGAATGCTTTTGCACCAATCATCTTCAATCTAAGTGACAATGTGAAGTCCGAGGCCCGGAGACCAAAGGTATAGAGAATGGCTAGTGAATCACCAACTTCAGCAGAAGAAGATTGCCTGTGAACTTAAGGATTTCAACTCAAGGATTTCAAGGATTTATTAATCTTGAGGATTAAGAGGAATGCTTTAGAAGAAGTGCTACAGGTTTGTTGCCATGAATGTGTGTAGTCATGTATATATATATATATATATATATATATATATATATATATATATATATATATATATATATATATATATTGAAACATATTCTGCACACCCAGAAAAATATAAGAATGAAATAATATCTCAAATCACTGGTTATCCTACATTATAATGGCATACTCCAGTCCAGTGTGTGTTCCAAATGCTTCAAACGAACCACGCATACATGGAACAGTCGTGATGTTGTCAAGGTCTGTCTATACATATGTATTCTACAGTGACTTATCTTGAATTAAACCAGTTTTTCGTACACAGTTTATATTTCATTGAACTATCCCCAAATTGTTGTCAGACTGCCTTGAATATCTGCAATGGGATTTGAAGTGAGCACGCAAAATGGCTAAGGGAATTGTTCAAACTGGGCTGTCCTGTCAGTACACCGTGAGGCGGTGGTCTTCCGCAGTTACCACTTGCATCGCACGTGACCTGTGCTCGGCCTGGATAGAGATGTGCTGGGCGTGTCAAGTGACCTGGCTTGGCCTGGGGCGCGGCCGGGCCGCCTCACGTGATACTACCCTCGGTCAGGCTTGCGCAGTCGTTAGTGCATCTGAGTGCACACCCGCGAAAACCTGCGCCCACGGAGATGCCGGTGGCGGACACAGGACAGACAGATACAGGACAGATGGACATACTCGACACAGGCCGCTGCAGGTCACCATTTAAGGAGTGCGCCGTGTTAAGGTGCTATTAAGCTCACCGAAAAGTGCTTTAGCTGCCACGTGGAAAGTTGTGGCGTTTTGCCTGGTCTATTTTAACGTCGCAATATTTCTGTGAAACTTTAGCTCTAACGTCATACGTGCCGTAACTAACACGGCTGGTGCGTAAGCTGTGCGGTCGCGACGCCCTGGTCCGAAGCGAGAAGGTAGAAAATAACGGTATCGCTGCTGTGCATTTGTAAAGTTCAAAAGGGCACATCTCGAATAAAGAGTAATTCGCGGCTGTAGCCAGTTATCTTGAGAAACATGAATTATCCAATACGCGCAAGCCATTTTAGACCGTGGACGGTGAAGGGGTAGGGGCAGTCCATCGGTTCCTAACACATCCACGGAGTTGGAACGTTTGAGCCAGTATCAACTATAGGAACAGAACACCGCTCTGTTAAGTACTAGTCACTCGCGGAGCGGGTTGTGGAATTGTCGTATTTTGTGTTGTTGCGTAAGTAAGGATAATAATACAGTGTCGGGCTGATAGCATAATATTCCATGGTGGGTTGCCCATGTAAATGCCATTTGTGAGAATCACGTTTTATATTACGCTGCTCGAGCGTGCGGGTGTGGATAGTTCCACCGTGAGAGCACCGACGCGGCTGTTTCGGTTGCAGATCTCCGTCGCTGACTGAACCCAGGCGAAGCGGGTGGCGAGCGGCCGCGGCCCGCCGGCGGGCGCACCAGTGCCCCGTCGCCATGGATACGCCGAGCGGCGAGCCCGGCTCGGGCGCGTGCGAAGTGCACGTGCGTCTGTGCACCAGCCGCGAGCCGCTGGTGCTGAGCGTGGCGGCCGACGAGACGGCCGAGCAGCTGTGCGTGCGAGCCGTGCGCCGCTGCCAGGTGGGGCCGGTGGCGCGGCATCTCTTCAGCCTCTGCGACGACGAGACCCGCCTCTTCGTGGCCGGGAACCGACGCGTCGGCGGCGCCGTCAAGCGCTACACGCTTCTGCTGCGGTACAAGGTGCCGAGCGCCAGCCGACTGCGGGCGATGGACGAGCGCGCTTTCGACTACTTCTTCCACCAGGTGCGTGAAGCGTTTGTGCTCGGCACGTTCGCCAACATCCTCAAGCAGAAAGAGGACGCCCTGGGCCTGGCCGTGACGGACATGTACCGCAAGATGCTGGAGATGAGCGCGCGCCGTGAGGACGTGGAGAAGGACTACAAGTCATTCATCCCCAAGGACCTGGTGAAGATGCACTCGTTCTTTCTCAAGTCGCCCATTCGCAAGCACCTGATTAAGCTGGAGAAGCTGGAGATCGACGACGTGATGTTCATCAAGGAGAAGTACGTGCAGAAGGCGCTGGAGATGTGCCCAACGTACGGCGACGAGATCTACACGGTGCAACGCGACGAGGCGGGCGTGGTGTGTAACTGGCGGCTGATCGTGGACCCGTATCACCCCACGCAGCCTGGGCTCCGCATGAAGGTGGACGGCAGCGAGGTGAGTCGCGCGCCAGTCACCCGGCGCAGGTCTGCTGTCCTGGTGGCCCCCGGTACTTTCCATACTCGCTCCAGCTGCAACATCAGTGGAAATTGGTGGTTCACGGGATTAGAACCCGGCACTTTCGGCCTTTCAGCTTATCGCGGACGCACGTCAGTCAAGCCTGACAGCTGGCGCGGAGGGTTGCAGTGTTAATGATCCTGACTCGGATCTCGCAGGTGAGAGCCGTCTATGTTTTGGTGTCACTCGTTTGTTTATCGGAGTAAGTGGCTGCGGATAGGGAGTGACATATTGTCTACTTTCAGTTTGTCCCACTTGCGAGACTTGTCTCATCAGTTTTGGCGCCACAGCAGGCGACGGTAGCCTGCTGCAATTTGAGAGAAATATTCATTATTTTCCACGCAGCGTAAAAAACTGGGACTTCTTGAAGCTTCGCAGTACGCCAAGCAATTATCGTAAATTAAAATTATTACGGGGCAGGGCGCTAGTTAATCAAGTTTACGGAAAATGTGTTTTCACTCGTGCACACGCTTACCAGGAATATGTCAGCAATGACAGGTGCTTTTGAACTGCACGTCTTCAAGCAGCAGTTCTCGTTCATCGCATTCATCGTTCATTGCACTTTATGGGCGCGATATTGGATACTTGTGAATTTCTGGAAGTTTTCTGACCAAATATGTGTTTGATGTCCAGAGTTAACGCGCAATGAAATCCCAGCCAACGATGCCCCCGACACGAATTGTTGATCGTAATACCATTGAGACGGCATATACGGAGAGATAATGTAAGGACCAAAATTTGTCGTCTTTTGGTCACAGCAATCTGTTTTGACAGCGGGTTTGGAATTCGCGTCATTTGTGGTCATTCGTACACCACGTTAGCTTGAGGCAGCCGAACGCGCGCTAGTCGGGTGGTGGAGTGGCTGGCGCGGAGGTCGCATGCGGCTGTCAAATGCCGACTCAGACACGACACAACATGCTCGCGTCCCGCACAGTTTGAAAATCACACAAGATTCGGGCGCCGCTAAGTAACACATCTGACACACGGACGTTGGGGCTCCCCAGTCATAGCGCTGCACCACGTCCTCATCTGTTCAATCAATAAGCACGTCACAAAACGTCCACGCCTGAAACAAACTGGAGAATATAGGTGCGTCTGGCATATGAAACGTTGAGTGCCAGTACATAATCTAGATCCGTTCAATGTGTTGCCTAGAATGTGTTTGTTTTCTATTTATGTGACCCGTCAGGATGCACCGATGCATGTGTGATTTGAGCTGTTTTGGTCTGGATAGGCAGTGAAACTGCCAGCCGTAGAATATATTTTTTGTGACCATTTTCGTTGCGAATGTACAGCGCTTCCCAATAGCGCACATCCCGGCAACCAGCGTTAAGCGGTGGCTGGCAAGTGCTGACAATGTTGTGTCGGCGTTTCAGAATTGTATTCATATATGCACGATCAGTGACATCTGCTACATATCTCTGCGGAACGACAACAGGGTAGAGCTGGCCAGAAAGAACGGCGTGCCGCAGTACTTCCGCTTCTGTTCTGAGGTGGGTCTGCACTCTGTTCGCTGCGTTTGACCTCTACCAGTCGATGTCGGGAGAAGTGGCTGACCTAGGGGAGAGTTGTTCTGTGGATTCTGTACTGGGACGATGTTCGGCCTGTCACTGGGGTTAGCAATCTAGCACGTTGGTCAAGACGATCGTCAGGCTGTGCTATGCGTGTCCCAACGTCTTTTGTTTGCCCAATTGTAGCTGTCCGAATTTGCGCGGCTCTTCATCGTTGTTTGACATTACCTCCTCGGGGCTGTTGCGTCGACTAGCTCCACGTACCTGTCTGCCTGGTGAGAACTGCTGAAGTATGCAGAGGAAGGGCCGCTTAATGTAGTGCAGATGTGTTCGTCTCATGCCTTCGTGTGACTTTTTGCTTACGTTCACCGGTTTCGGATGTTGTATGATGGTCTCTTCCCTGCGACTCATATATAGGTCAAAAATGTCACGAACAAGCGTCCGCACGCTTGTTTCGTTGCGTTATTCCTAAAACGTAGGCATTTGATTTATTTATGCTTAACAGCTAGACTCTCGTCTCTAGCTGCTCTGGGCGCCCAGATACGGCACAATACGTGAACAACGGCGGGAATGGCAAAGTGCATCATGCTGACTCCTACACACGGAGCATATAACACTTGTGACCTTACACTTTGCGCCACGTGATTGCTCGTTTGATTTCCTATCGATGTATGCCACCCCCGAGTAGCTCCATGTCCTTGCCGGTTAGCTGCCGATCGGTTTCCAAATTTCCGTCGCCTGTGACATGTGTGGCCGATGGCGCTGCCCGAAATGCGGACCTTCCCTGCTTTTCCGGCGACTTGCAGCACAAGGCGGCGTACAAGGTTGTGTTGTGCACTAAAATTTTAAATGGCACATTGGTGGATGCTTTCAGCTTGGATTCACGCCTCTACCTGCGCTGGTTGTCAACATGGGCACGACACGTGACAAATAAGCGAATGCGGCCAACTTGATCTTGCCAGCTAGTGGACGCGTGACACGTGTCACGTGCGACAGGAGACCTAGTGCCACGCGATTCCGTGCCATTCACTATCGAAGCATGCTACGCTGGAGTCGCTGCGACCCGTGGTTACCGTGATGTTGGCGCTGAGTGGCGATTACAGGCCGCGTAGCGTAATCGGTCGCCGCCGCGGCCCGCGCGCCGTGAAGCGAACTGGCGTCGGCAGCCTGCCACAGATGCGCGTGCGTCGTCAGCCATTTTGCGTAAAAGCCCGTTGGTTGGAGCCGAGAGACCGTACGGTACCTTTTCGTCGCGACGTAAAAAACCGTAATTCATCCCATTGTCCTATGTGAATTTGCGAGCAAGCCGTTCCAAAAAGATCAACAAAAGGGTGGTTAAGAGAGAGAATGAATATGCGAACACGCTGGCATAATTTTTTAGCTCAAAACCTACACAGTTCGACGGTAACGGCTTACATCGGTGCAGGTCTTTGGAATGTTACGAATTGCAATTTTGTCCCGCAATTTGCAGCGCAACTGTGCGTCGCATTAAGTTGCGTTGCACCCTGAAATTGCTGTTGGTTCATTTGTGAGCGTTGGGAAGCTGAATTCACTCATCTACCTGCTCTGGGTGCCAAGATGTGACGCAAAATGTTTGAACAGTCAACAAAATCCCGCAAATTTCGTCTTTTCAACTCGTGTGCGCGTGACACATGCTATGTGACACGAATACAAGAAAAGTCTGCGCAGATGTGACGCCTCCATGGAACTGAAGTTTTGTACATAGGATAATATATATATATATATATATATATATATATATACATATATATATACATATATATATATATGTATATATCTATATATATATATATGTATATACACATATATATATATATATATATATATATAAGTATAAAGTTTGGCAGCCAAACTACCGTAGTATGGTAGTTTTGTTTTTGGTTGATACTACGCAAAGGTTGGTAGATGCTGGTAACATGATGACGAACAGAGATTTCACCAATGAACTGGGTAACGATCCTGCTCTACATCTTTATTTCAATATTATGTGAACATATATTGTACATTTTGCATTCACAACCTGCTAAAGGCAACGCAGTACTACGATCTACTTCCAAAAATGGATCCTACTAAACTACGTTTTCTAGGTTTAGTACCCGCACATTTTTCATGTACAGCCTGCTAAAGACAACTCAGTGCTACGATCTACTGCCAAAAGTAGGTCCTACTAAACCACGTTTTCTAGGATCCGTACCCGCGCCCTATTCGACGTAGTCAACGAGCCTGAATGTTTACATGTGATGCCCTTTTCTGAAATGTGTATTTGTAAATGAATGAATATCATGTGTAATGTTAACATCCAAGTTATAAATGGGCAATAATTGTCCATTTATCGTCGCACCGCAGTACCTTCATGGGGTGAAATGTAAAAATAAGTTAATGTGAGCAGGGCAGGTGCTGACAATTTCGCTGATACTTTATTTCGCTGTTGTTCGCTCATTATTGTCTATCTAGCTATGCAACTTGCGTGCCGTTTCGACCCTTTGTTATCAAGATTTGGCTCCAGGAGTGCACGCGTGTCGGCCCGTCGGCCGGTGGTCGTGAGATTTGCGTCGCCCATGTTAACCTATGGGGATTGTGTGACCTTTTGCGGTCACCACACGTTCATTTTTGCGAAATGCAGAATAATTTTGACGCAGACGCACTCAGCAGCCGTTAGTTGTGTGAAAATCTCACTTGAAAATTCCTGGCCGTTTGGCCTGCGCATGATCCCAAAGAAATGGTGGCGGACACACGCATTGATCCGTTAGTGTAAAAGTATATTCCAATTTGACGTCTTCATTGCGGGTATGCGTACTTAATGTGTACTTAATTTTTTTATCAGCCAACGCCAAGCTTTTGAAAATTAACGAGAACGAGATTTAGCCAGTCATCTGGATTTAACAGCGAACTTGAAGTGCGTTCATGACCCTATTGTGACCCTATTGTAGTTTTGCAAATTAAGATCTTACATTCAGCGCCGGCTTGAAGAAATGGCGGAAGATACGCTTCGTAGGCCAGGTATAATTGTTTCGGTTCCACTCAGCGCCCATGGACTCTCCTTAAACGGCATATCGCGATACAGGCAGTGCATTCTCGCAGCGTCGTGTTTTATGGATGCTACGAGCAGACAGCCGCACAGAAAGAAGGCCTGGTGGGTGACGTCACTCTGCGCATCTGTCCGACTTCCAGGATGAAACCACTTCATTCGTCAGCCTGCTCGAGTCCTACTACCGGCTGATGGAGAAGTGGACATTCTGCCTCAGCAAGGACCTGCAGCTGCCGTCACAGCTGCGCCTCAAGCAGATGCGCTGTCACGGACCAGTCGGGTGCGTCTGTCACTGTCGGACTCGGCCTGCGGGTTCTGTCACGATTTGGATCGCGTGCGCACTTACGTGTGTGCTCGCTTGTGCGTTTGCACGTGTGCTTGCGTACGTGAATGTGTGTGTCTTGGCGGGATGGGGTAGACATTCGCAACGCGCACACAGCGCAACGGTGTTGGGACTGCCGGGGTGACGCCTGCTTTGACAGGCTTCTCGCCTTTTCACAAGCCGCTGGCGTGTTCGTCACAGTCTGTTTTCGCCTGCGGCGCCCATCAGGCGGCGACCTCGTAGCCCGGGTTTGACCGTGTGCTGCTCCGTCCCGTTCGCTGACGCCCATCTGTCCGGCGTCCGGGTCTAACCATGTGCCGCTCTGTCCTGTTCGCTGACGCCTGTCCGTCCGCTGGTCCGCATCGGCGCCCGGGTCTGACCATGTGCCGCTCTGTCCCGTTCGCTGACGCCTGTCCTTCCGCTGATCCACATCGGCGCCCGGGTCTGACCATGTGCCGCTCTGTCCCGTTCGCTGACGCCTGTCCGTCCGCTGGTCCGCATCGGCGCCCGGGTCTGACCATGTGCCGCTCTGTCCCCGTTCGCTGACGCCTGTCCGTCCGCTGCCGCTCTGTCCCGCTCGCTGACGCCTGTCCGTCCGCTGGTCCGCATCGGCGCCCGGGTCTGACCATGTGCCGCTCTGTCCCGTTCGCTGACGCCTGTCCGTCCGCTGGTCCGCAGGCCGGAGTTCGCGCACCGCAAGCTGCGCGAGAAGCGGGACAACGAGCCGGGCACGTACCTGTTGCGCCAGGACGACCAGCTATACGACGTCATCCTGGTGGACGTCTGTCAGCCGCACTGGTCAGTCGGGCAGGCGGCCGCGGCGGCCGGCCCCCGAACAGGCGGGCCACGCGGCCCGTGTGACATCACGTGCGAATGACAGGGACGGCGGGCCGGGCCGGTCAACGATCTGATGACTCGCCCATCACCGCCGGCCAGGGTTGTAGGTGACGTGCCGATGCGCCGCCGGCTTTTTACCGCAATCGGATGACGTGAGCCTGCTGGGTATTTCGTTAGAGAGTAGTCCACCACAATTCGACGGCAGAGGATCGTTCATTTTGGCAGACGTCCTTTACATGCATGGAATGATCTGTATGTCCAAAATGATGGTGCTCTTTGAATGTAGTGCGTTTACGCGAAACCCTGTGTACTGCGTCGGTGGTGCTCTTACAGAAATGTTATGCCGCTAAAGTCTTACCCTACCCGCCGTTACTTTGTCAGATCTATCTTGTACACGCCGCTACTGTTCAACATATCCTGTACCCCACGAGTGTGCTGTAACCGAGGTCCTTCTGGAGATATGCCAGAACTGTGGAAATCAAGAGCTTTTGCTCCGTTCGAAGCAGCCGAATACATGCACGGCAACATGTAGCAAGATGCGTGTACAGGCAATATTTAGCGTCCGACGCCACCAACTTCTCAACTTTGCATTCGTGATGCTGGGTATGGCTTCCGCAGCTGGAACACTCACTGACTTTATTTGGGAAGGAAGGGGAGGAGTAGTACCACGATCCCATCTTCACAGGCTATGTGCCGTGTACTGCGGTGTGGAGAAGGTCTGTGTGCTGCTACGCTGCGCTGCTCTCCAACATTGGTCCATAAATTGGTTTAGTTGACGCGCTGTTGTGTGTGATGGGGTGCAGTCCTTTGCATATTTACTCACTAACACCAGTTGTTCGGCTTTTACGACGGATGCACTGTGGCAGTGTTTCGACCCCAAGCGTTTGGCAAAGACCGGGAAAACAAATGCACCTGCAATGGATTCGCGAATCAATATTACTGTCTTGTTTTCGTTCCGTGTCGAGGCAGTTGACGAGCGTGTTGTGTCGCGAGTGTGGCTTTTTATTGCCTGTCCCGCACCCTCCGGATGTGTCGGTAGCCGTTGGTCTGTGTCGGCGGTGTGGTGCCGCCGCCTGCCTGTCTGTCCCGCACCCTCCGGATGTGTCGGTAGCCGTTGGTCTGTGTCGGCGGTGTGGTGCCGCCGCCGCCTGTCTGTCCCGCACCCTCCTGATGTGTCGGTGACCGTTGGTCTGTGTCGGCAGTGTGGTGCCGCCGCCGCCTGTCTGTCCCGCTCCCTCCGGATGTGTCGGTGACCGCTGGTCTGTGTCGGTAGTGTGGTGCCGCTGCTGCCTGTCTGTCCCGCACCCTCCTGATGTGTCGGTGACCGTTGGTCTGTGTCGGCAGTGTGGTGCCGCTGCTGCCTGTCTGTCCCGCTCCCTCCGGATGTGTCGGTGACCGCTGGTCTGTATCGGCGGTGTGGTGCCGCTGCTGCCTGTCTGCCCCGCACCCTCCGGATGTGTCGGTGACCGCTGGTCTGTATCGGCAGTGTGGTGCCGCTGCTGCCTGTCTGCCCCGCTCCCTCCGGATGTGTCGGTGACCGCTGGTCTGTGTCGGCAGTGTGGTGCCGCTGCTGCCTGTCTGTCCCGCTCCCTCCGGGTGTGTCGGTGACCGCTGGTCTGTGTCGGCAGTGTGGTGCCGCTGACTCTGGCCATCGAAGAGACGAGCACTGGCACGTTCCGCTGCCGGGGCGAGGAGGAGCAGCACGACTCGGTGCAGAACCTGCTCGCCCAGTTCTCAGTGGACCACTTGCTCCAATTCAAGGAGTGTCTGCCGCCTTCGGAGCACGGTAGGCGCGGCGGCTCAGCGGGACGCGGACGCTGAGAGCTTGCCTCCGGAGCTCGGGGCCTGGGACGGCGCGCGGTAGCGATGCAGGGGAGGGGTGCAGACTGTGGCAAGGGTGTGATGCCGGGACTGCGCCGATGCGGTGCGGCTGTACAGAGATACATCATTCGGCTACATCCATCACAATGCTTTGGTCCACTTGAGGCTCCAGGCGCATGGCTGTGACACTCTAACAGCAGTGTTTGGCATTGACTATCAGCAAAAGGTCCTGCCTCCAAAGCAGTCTACCAAAAGCATCCACCGAATTTTTGGTATCGAGTGATGTAGAAAGTTGTCGCTCGGGCCTGCAGGGGGCGGATGCACGAAGGCAACATTGCAGGGGTGTCTGCATTTGTTTGTTGTTGTTGTTGTTGTTTTTTTTTTGCTTTTGTGTCGTGGGTACCGTACGCCATCTGTAATTTATCACCGCTGATCCCTTACGACTGGTTCGGAAGACTGGTGGAGGAGGTTTTTGTAGTATTTCTGATTTTTGTGGTTCTTGTAACGATAATGATAAAGGCCCAGTAAGGTACCCAAGGAACGTGCTGACCATTTCCCTCTGTTCTTGGGTGACCTGGAAGGTTGCATGTGGTATTTTTAGTTTGTGAAACATGCTCTTACCAGCGTACCTGTGGACGGGATGCGCGTTCACGGCCCGGTGTCGTCTTTCGGCAGATGAGAGCCCTCTGCGGCTTTGTCGGGACCCGGCCACCGACATGGAGTCTGCCAAGCTGAAGAGCAAGCAGATGATGGTCAACGACCAGCCGCTCTGCATCCCCGCACACGCGCTCAAGCTGTACACCGGTCAGTGCTGACCGCCGGGGTCGACGCCGGGCGCCAACCCTCGAGTGCCGTCCGCACCGCGGCGCGAGACGGCCGCGGTGCCGCGCGGCTGGCCGTGCTCAGTCACGCTCGGCTGGCCAGCAGACCTGTCCGGCCTCTGGGCCAGACTGGTCGACTTGCCATCTGGGCTTCGTTGTCAGACGATTTGTCTGTGCTGGAGTCTGACCGCGGACGCGGTCTTGTCCCCGCCGTCGGCTGGTCTGTGCTGGAGTCTGACCGCGGACGTGGTCCTGTCCCCGCCATCAGCTGGTCTGTGCTGGAGTCTGACCGCGGACGTGATCTTGTCCCCGCCGTCAGCCGGTCTGTGCTGGAGTCTGACCGCGGACGTGGTCTTGTCCTCGCCGTCAGCCGGTCTGTGCTGGAGTCTGACCGCGGACGTGGTCTTGTCCCCGCCGTCAGCTGGTCTGTGCTGGAGTCTGACCGCGGAAGTGGTCTTGTCCCCGCCGTCAGCTGGTCTGTGCTGGAGTCTGACCGCGGATGTGGTCTTGTCCTCGCCGTCAGCCGGTCTGTACTGGAGTCTGACCGCGGACGTGGTCTTGTCCTCGCCGTCAGCCGGTCTGTGCTGGAGTCTGACCGCGGACGTGCTCGTGCCGGCAGGTCGCGCGGCCGAGGTGTACGGCCGGTACACGGTGGTGCAGCGCGCTCAGTGGCACACGAGCGCGGGCACCAGCCGCCAGGTGGCCGTCAAGCGACTCAAACAGCACCTGACCAAGGAGCGGCTGCAGGTAAGACCCGGCGGCACCGCTTAACTGGCTGCATCGTAACTTTGTGTCACAACTTCTTCAGTGACGAATCTGGCTGGCCAGTGGTGACTTTACAGTTCTGGGGCAGGTGAAAACATTTCAGCTTAAATTTGGAAAGGTAGCTACTTTTCATGGCATTTACTGGATCCCGTCGGATTTTGGCGCCACGCATGTCCTAATGGCGGTTTCATGCGTCATTGGTTCAAGGGTCGCGAACTAACCGTCACTAACCCGAAGATCGGATCGAAAATTGCAGTGCTCTTAGTTCGAAGGCTTAGGTCCAAATTCGTTGCTGTAGGGAAAAATGAAGCTGTTGTATAATGTGTTCACTGGCACATTGCAAACCTAATGTTGCATGTCTTTATCCCTGACTCCCTTCGAAGCTGCTTCTGAATGTTCCATGTCATGGCTGTAGAACTCTGAGTTCAAGTCCACTTTCGTTTCCACTCTTTGCCCTCGCCCCCTCCTTTTCCCTTCCCCTCTCCTCTTCTCCCCTCCCCTCCCCTCCCCTTTCCTGCCCTTCGTTGTGCCTTTTTCGAGTTCACACAACTCAGCCTCCATTGCTGGCAGTCCCGGCACTTGGCTGGGGATCGCCCCAGTCGCCCCGTCCGGAAGTGGCTGGGGCGCTCGCCAGCTGGCCCGGGCCGAGCCCACTGACCGTGCCCGCGGCCGGCCGGCAGGAGTTCATCGACTCCGTGAGCGTGGCGCTGCAGTGGACGTGCGACGCGGTGGTGCAGTTCCGCGGCGTGTGCCTGACGCAGGCCGTGTCTCTCGTCATGGACTGGTACCCGCTCGGTCCGCTCGACCTCTACCTGGCCGAGAACAGGCAGCTCATGATGGAGGTGCGTGCTCGCCGCAGAGGCGGCGGTGGCCGGGCCAGAGGAGCGTCGCCGACGAACGGTCCGGTCGCTCTTCACTCGGCCACTGGAGCGACCCGCGCTGCAGGGATCCGACCTACGCGCCTCGTAGTGACCTCTGACCTGTGCGCCATGTCAAGACCCCCCAACCCATGTGCCATCCCCGCCGGGTTCTCTAATCGCACGCGGATGCGTCGCATTTAAGCGGTGATGCTCTTCCGTCCCTCCCACGTTCTTCGGGTTTTTACCTGGGAATCCCGTCTGGAGAGAATGGAGAGGCATTGGCGTGGTTGCACCTCGTCTTGCTTGCAGGGGAGGCGGCGCGGCGCGCTGGACTTAGCTCTGTTCGAGCGTGACTTGTTGGTCCGCTTCACAGGTGGATCTTGTGGAGGCTGGCACGTATCTGGCCAAGGCTCTCTGGTACCTGGACGAGCAGGGGGTGACCCACGGCAACTTGCGCTGTCGCAACGTGCTCGTCTCGTCGCGCGCCGAGAACAAGTTCCACGTGCGGCTGGCGGACCCCGGCCTGCGTGTCTACTCGCAGAACGAGTGAGCGCCGGGACTGGAGCTGCGGCGTCAGTGCTCTGGCTGATAGACGTCAGCAGCTCGTGGCCCGGCGCCTGTGACGGAGCGGGGGCGGGAAGCGTAGATCCCGGTCTCGCAGTCTCAGCCGGCGTCAGTGACGTCCGTGTCAGCAGTGGCGGTCAGTGGCGCGGGGGCGATCAGTCGTCCGTGGCTGATCTGCGGCACGACTGTCAGGAGTACCTGCCCTGCGGTCTCCGGTGCGTGGCACGGCCGCGCCGCCGGCTGCGGGCCGCCGGTGCGTGGCACGACCGCGCTCCCGTTTGACCTGTCCACCGTCGCAGCCTGCCGCTGCTCCCCAGTGTGACCGCCCCCTGCCCGGCAGCATCCACTGGATCCCGGCGGAGTTTTTCGACCAGCTGCAGTCGGCGGCGTACTCGGGCGCGGCCGACGTCTGGGCGTACGGCACCACCCTCTGGGAGATATTCTCGTACGGCCAGAAGCCGCTGGACGGCGAGGATCTGGAGATGGCCAAGCAGGTATTTCGCCCACTGGACGGGGCCCGCAGCGCGAGGTTTTACTTTAGGGTGTCATTCTGCTCTCTGCTTTTAATGCCATCTTCGCTTGGTCCCATTTGTATATTGAGTCTCGTGTGTCTGGTGGAGCGCGCAGCAGCGCACGAGGCCCTGTTCCCACATGCGCTCGCGCTCACATTTATCCCTGCGCGCCCGTACATGCTTTCGTAGCACTAATTCGCGTTAAAGGAAAGGTCCCACTTTTAAGATATTGAAGCAAGCACCAGGTATGATGAGGTAAGCTCACTTGTAACTGTTGCTTCGCTTTCAAGTGTTAAAGACTGCTCTGGATAACACAATGTCATCGCTTGGTAAATATGTTCTCAACACGTCATCGTTTGATTGCGTTCTGGAACATTGGTATGACGTCTGAGTGGCTGCCAGACTGGCCGTGCTGTATCACCACCGTAGCGGACGGGCTGACTCACGTCTTCTTGTGTATTTTGTCGTGACTATGACGTTTATATGCATTCACGTTCTGGGTTGTGGCATTTTTTTATTTTAGTTGATTCCCAGTTTTATTTTCGTCACGACTCGCACCACTGCCAAATGCCGGTTTGAAACAGCACAAAACGTGGTTAGTGTTCGAAACTTTCCCTAAACGCCGTACGTCGGTTGAGAGCTAACTTGTAATAAGTCCATTAATGCATGAAATCATGCTGTTGTACGCCATACACGAAAAGCTCGATTATCATGTTTGCGTTTGCCTTGAGCATTGCATCGCCCATGAGATGCCAGCATTCACGTGACGTTTATATTGTGTCAAATATGCCTGGGTGACCTCGAAATAGTCTGTACCAGCACAGAGTCTCGCTCAGAACCAGAGGACTTTCAGTCTCAGAAAGGGTAGGACCGTGAACTGCACTGAGTGATCGTCAGAAAGGATGTCTCAGTTCGAACCCCTTGCAAATGTGGAGCACTCCCTTGACCACTCACGGACGCACAACGTCATGTGGTGGTAGTGCTCGAGGTGTTGACGTGAGCTTCTGAGTCGCTGGTGCGCAGCTCGGACGTCTCTTCACGCCGCCGTTTTGCCCGCCTTGGCTTGCCGACGGTGGTGTGCGGGCTGGCCAGGTGGCGCGTGTAAGGCGGTACGGTGACCGGGCCTGTCTGCCGCCGGCTGCAGCTGTACCAGCGGGGCGGCCGTCTGCCGCCGCCGGCCGGCTGCCACCGCGACATCTACCGGCTGATGTGCGACTGCTGGCAGCAGCAGCCGCACAACTGTAAGACGCCACAGGCCATCATGCGTGACATCAACCAGATCCTGTACGAAGGTGAGGAGCGCGAGCCGGCGGACGCCGCCGCGCTGTGGCCGCCCTCTCCTCACTGTCGGTGGCCGGCGGACGCCGCCTCGCTCTCGCCGCCCTCTCCTCACTGTCGGTGGCCGGCGGACGCCGCCGCGCTCTCGCTGCCCTCACCACCACGTCACTATCGGTGGCTGGCGGGCCGGTCGTCCATATAAGTTGTGTTCTCCCCCGAGGATGCGGTGTGTACTTTTGCGTGATGGCTTCAACTCATCAGGCTCGTCAGAAACCGGATTGATAGCCCATTGATTTGGAAACGCAGCGAGCTGTCAGCATCTCCTTGTATTTATTGTAACGGGACATTATAATAAAGGCCATGTACCTGCATCACCTGTGTTCGGCAACTTCATAATTTTGCGTGCACCTCTTTTCGTACTAGTGTGCAGTTCTTACCACAGCGATTGGTATAACGATAAACTCAGTTCATTCCATGAGAGGTGCCTTTTAATAATTGCTCTAGGTACGCGGCCTTGACCTGGTAGAGTAGCAAGCATTTAAAGCTATCACGTGCACTGACAGGACCTAACAAGCTGCGCCCATAACACCCATTGGTTGTCCAGTGGTTGCTCCCAACGTGGGAAATGCGAAACCTTGCAGCACAGTGTGCGAAGCCTGATTCGATGGGAGTACTGATAGGACCGCCGAACATTTGTATCCCTAGTTTCGGCGGTTTGGTTTCAAATACAGAAAGGGGTGTTTTCCTCCCGTGTTTCCGTCTATTTGTAACATTTATTGCCCCGGTTTTAACAGATCTTCCATTCAGGACCGGTGCAGTCACCAAGGACTCCAGACAGATGTGGATTTGGGGTGTACGGAGGGAAAATTATGCGCGTTAATGAGCTTGCAGTCGAGATAAAGAAGATCACGTGGTTCCAGGCTGTAAGTCTCACGTATTCGCGAGCAGGCATTAAACATTGAGAAACCTCAGAGAGGGGATTCGGTACAGTGGAGGTAACGTGGTCTTGGTTATTGTAGCAACAAACTGCTAATGACCTTGGCCTTCTTTGCGATTGTTTTGCGTGTATTGGATACAAAATGTTACAATTTTAAATGCGCAGGGAACGTAGTTTTTCTAAAAAAGTGAAAGGAACAGGTGGTGTTAATTTGCGGTTTAATTTTGCCTCCGGAATATCTTGTTAAGGTCACATGCTAAGCTTAAGTATTTAAGCCGGCTCCGTCAGCACATTGCAGCATGCACACATATGTTAATGTTAAGTGCTTATTACGGTCTCGGAGCTGCCGTCTTTCGGTCCGTGTTTTCAAACCAATATATTTGTTTACACTGAAATTTTATGCAGATATGGCCCTACCAGTTACGTTTATTCCAGAATGTAGCGTACCGAAGTGGATGTGATCAATAAGCGTGATCAGTGTGAAACTACGTCGTAGCCAAAATATCAGCAACAGTGATATTTTGCTCATTGTACGCCGGCAGACCGAGTAGGCACTACACGATGCTGGAGCCCAAGCCGCATTGTGATCAGATGGCAGCATTGGTCGGGGCTGTAGGCGGGTGTACGTGACGCGGATGTGTTTGCAGTGGTCTAGTCATTCCGGCGGCGTAGCTGCCGCCCTGCAAGTATCCTCGCGGCGCGGGCGGCACGGCGACGCCCCCCCCCCCGTCCCTCCCCCCCCCTCCCCCCCCCCGGCCGTGAATCACCGGCCGCTTGTTGCCTCGTTGGTTGCTTTTGGAATGCCGTTTCCTGGAAATGAATCGTCGTATTGATCGCCGTTCTTGGAAAGCGCCGTGAGCAGTGGCGTTGCCAGGTCACGCGGTTCTGGGGTGGGTTCGGTGACTTGTCCGTGCGGCCACCGTCTGCGTCGACCTCGGGCGGAGGGACTGTGCGACCCACACTCCCTTTCGGCTGCGCTGAGAGCGCCTCTGCCGCTGACGGAACACCTCTGTCGGTTTCAGTGTTTAATGCCCGCCAGGTGCACACGTACGCCACGCTTTCCAACAGCGGGTCGGGCGGCAGCGGCACGGCGCAGCTGGACAGCACGGTCACCACGCTCGGCACCGACACCACCGTCGCGGTCACCGGTCAGTGGGGCGGGCGCCGCCCCCGGTCTGAGGCTCACTGGAGGGCCAGCTGCTGCCGGGCCGAGAGCCGGGCGGGTGGGTGGCATTGCCTGTCCGAGGGACTGGTATTTGGAGGCCAGTCATGAGCGTGTGGGCCTTGGTTATATGGCGAGTCGTTCCTGCTTGTTTGACCTGTGTGGTTGGTGTTGTGTGTTCTGGCCCTAGCAATTCCTGTTGTAAAGTCTGGCCTGGATCGTGCCCGTCATCGTGCGTATTGGGCCTGGGATGCCTGGATTCCGGCCGTGACCTTCCGCTCCCGTTTGTAGTCTGATTCGGGCAGCTTGCATCGAGTTTGAGCCTGGCCACTCCTGTCCCTCCCCCCCCCCCCTCTCTCTCTCTCTCTCTCTCTTCCCTTCTCCTGACCTGACCTGACCAGGGCCGGTGTTTTTATTATCTGACTTGGTCCGCTCCTGTTCCGGCTCTTCCCCTGACGCGACCTGACCTGGCGAGCCCTGACCACGTTTGCTGTAATGCTGGGTCGTGAACCGCCAGTGTTTTACATTTGGGCCCGGGCTGCGCGTGATTTAAAATCTGACCTAAGCTCATTCTGCTCCAGAGTTGTACCGGGGTTCAGATGTTTTGTAGTGTGACCCGGTTGGCTCGTGTTTCATGGTCTCCGTTCCTGATTTTTAGGCTGGCCCCGCCTATGACTGTAGACTATAGCTCACGGTCGGACCCCGACTGCTCATATTCGTCGTTGGTGGGGCCTGCTAATGTTGTCAGGTTGTGACCGGGGCCGCCGTCAGGCAGAGGCTGATCCGCTGGCTTTCCCGGCTGCTGCAGAGTCTGCCTCGCCCTCGATGATCGACCTGTTGTCGGAGCCGTTCTCGGGCGGCGCCGAGCTCGGCCGCGTCATGTCACCGCAGCGGGCCGAACCGGAGCCGCGCACCCGAGACCGGCTGGTCAGCATCGGCCGCCACAAGGTGAGGCGGAGCCGCCGGTGCGCCGGCACCGAGCCGCTCGCTCGGCCGCCGCCGGGACGGCCGGCCCACCACGTGTGGACGGCGCCACGGCTCAGCGTTGGTGGACACTGATGAGCGCGCCGCGCCGCGACTCTCACTGCGGACCGACGGCCGGTGCCTGCGGCGCTGCTGGCCGGCTCATCAGACTGCAGCCGGCGTCGTCGCCGTCTGCGGCCGACGCGTGACCGTCGAGCGGCTGTGACGGCGGCGTCTGCGCGTGTCTGACGGCGCGCCCGTCTCTCGCCCCGCCAGCTGCTGATCCCGGGTGTCAGCTCCAGCCTGGGCGACCCGGCCGAGCCGGTCACGCCGATCTCGCCGCTGGACATGTTCGAGGAGGCGTGTCCCAGCTTCCCCCGCGTGCTGCAGCTCAATCAGGCGCAGGTGCAGCTGGGAGACACACTCGGCGTGGTGAGTGACACCGGTGCCGGCCGCCGCGGCGGCTGGACAGCCTGGCTGTGGATCTCTGGCGATGACTGGATGGGTGTACGGAGTTCGGTGGCGACGGGGCTGCTGCTGGATCACGGCGCGGTGGGAAGACGTGGGTCCTAGTCTGATGACCTATGTACCTTTGAGCTCTGGCTCATGTTTTGGAATCCCCAGTCCGAGCCTGAGAACATGTGTTCCACATCTCATGAGCCAGAGTCCAAGCCGCAAGCTCTGGGACCTAGGTTAAAATTAATTTAGTTTGACTGCATAACACTGAGTCTGCTTCCAAGAACCTATGATCTCAGTTTTGGCACGAACCTCGCTCTCAGTCAGTTAGCTCTAGTTTCCTTTTTTAGAGCGGGCTTTCTTGTTAAAGTTGTGGTGCCTGAATGACAATAAAATCTAGTCAAACCTTAGTTTATGTGTGGGCGGTGGGTATTGACAAGGATGTGGTTATAAGTCCGTTGAAGGTTATATTGGGCCCATACTGAATTGTTTTTTATTTTGCATCAGTGTGAGCTGGGCATCATTTCAGTTTGGTTTGTTTACAGCGCAAGATCTGCAATAAATTTGAGTCTTAACCTCATTACCGTCAATTTCGGCTTGACTTTTTGCTCTCTCCTTCAATTTGATAAGAACTAGTCCGGCCTTGTTTCACTCGTTAATGGCTTTGATTCACCTAGTTCGAGGCGCGAGTGATTCCGATTCCGGGATCACTTCCGAGTTGGTCCAATTTAGACCCACGTCTTACCATGATGCACCTGGTAGTGAAGAGTAGGGGGAGAGCGTATGTACTGTGTCCAGCAGGATTGCTTCATCGTCCGGGGGCCGATCAGGACTGGGCGGGGTATGTATTGTGTCCAGCAGGATTGCTCCATCGTCCGGGGGCCGATCAGGACTGGGCGGCGTATGTACTGTGTCCAGCAGGATTGCTCCATCGTCCGGGGGCCGATCAGGACTGGGCGGGGTATGTATTGTGTCCAGCAGGATTGCTCCATCGTCCGGGGGCCGATCAGGACTGGGCGGGTCTCGCTGTACAGTGTCCAGCAGGATTGCTCCATCGTCCGGAGGCCGATCAGGACTGGGCGGGGTATGTATTGTGTCCAGCAGGATTGCTCCATCGTCCGGATGCCGATCAGGACTGGGCGGGGTATGTACTGTGTCCAGCAGGATTGCTCCATCGCCCGGAGGCCGATCAGGACTGGGCGGGGTATGTACTGTGTCCAGCAGGATTGCTCCATCGCCCGGAGGGCGATCAGGACTGGGCGGGTCTCGCTGTACAGTGTCCAGCAGGACTGCTCCATCGTCCGGAGGCCGATCAGGATTGGGCGGGGCTCGCGGACTGGAGCCATTGGGCGAGGCCGTGCAACGTCTGATGTGGGATCACCCGCGCCACGCGTCTGGCGTCGAGCCCGGGCCACTGGAATGGTGCAGGGCACCGACGGTGGCCGGGCATTGCGGGCCGGCGCGGGCTGCAGTTTTGGGCTGATGCAGACAGTAACCAGGGATTACGCGTAGAGGTGTAGGCACGTGGTCTCAAGTAAGCGACTGTTCGGTAATACAGTCCCAGTCCCTCGCGCTGCGCTCTCCAAATCCACGGTCTATCGACGTCGTGGCACCCGTGAGCCCGGACTCGTCCGCGCGCGCACGCGGTCGCTCCTGCGCCGGCGGCCTCGTCTGGCTCGCGCTGGCGTTGCCCTCAACGCGGCCCGACCCCAGCTAACCTGGCCGTTTCGCCGGCCGCTGCAGGGTTTCTACGGTGAGGTGTACAAGGCCGTGCTGACGCACCAGGACGGCGCGTGGGAAACTGTGGCGGCCAAGCGGCTGAAGCGGCGCGCCATCAGCACGGCCGGCCTGCAGGACCTGCAGCGCGAGATCGCCATACTCAAGGTGCGGGGCGGGACTGGCTCCAGGCTGCCGCGTGGAGCGAGCCGGCCGCCCGCTCGGTGGGACAGAAGGGTGCAGGCGTACGGATTTTTTATTGAGGAGGGCGAGATGAACTGCGTCAATCGTTTGGCAATTAAGCGTGTGTGTGCTTGCCATCGGTCTCCCGTGCGGACGTGCTGCTCTGTGCTGCTCGTCGGTCCAGTTGTTCGTGCTGAGCTCTCAGGAAAACGCACCGCGGCGCCACTGACCGGGTGCCGCCGCCAGGAGCTGGACCACGAGAATGTGGTGAAGCTGCGTGGCATCGTGGACGAGCCGGAGCTGATGCTGGTGATGGAGTACCTGCCGCTGGGCGCGCTGCTCTCCTACCTGAAGATGTACGCCGACAAGCTCAGCACGCACCGGCTGCTCAAGTTCGCGCTGGACGTGGCCAAGGTAGGGCTGGCGGCGTCCCGTTGGGAGGGACGGAGAAGGCCTGCTGTCCGCCGCGTGGCTGGGCGCCAGCGGCGATGTTGGCGGACCAGCGGCGTGTGGACTCTGCTCAACCCGGCGCTATATTCGGCGCGGCCAGCAACGCCTGCTGTGCACTGCCGTACATGCCATGACACGATTGAATGGGGTCGTCTGTCGGACCCGCGCTGTGCGCGTCGCTACGGATGTTGTGACAAGCCTTGTTCGAGGCAGCAAATTTTAAAGCAATCGGCAGCCGGCAGTAGCCAGGAATGCCACTCACCCGGGATGTTGACTCATGACTCACATTTTGCTTGCCTCGTGAACGGTGTAACTCCACTGCCGTTGATCGGGCCGTCAGCCGCGTCCGATCCGCCCCCTTTCCGTGTGTCGCGCGGCGCTGTGCTGTCCCGCGTGACCTGGTCGTCGACCCGGACTGCGCGCCAGTCCACCCCGATCGGCCGCCGGTGGCTCCTCGAACAGTCAACAGTCTAGAACAGTCAGAACAGTCCCGCTCGCCACTCCGCAGGGCATGGAGTACCTGGGTGAGAAGAAGATCGTGCACCGCGACCTGGCCGCGCGCAACATTCTGGTGGCGTCCGAGACCCAGGTCAAGATATCGGACTTCGGCCTGGCACAGGTCACCGGCTCCAACACGTACTACTATCTGAAGACCAACCGCGAGCTGCCGTTCCGCTGGTGCGTGACGTGACGCGGCGGACGGGGGCCGCACGCAGCCGTGTGTTGGCCAAGAGAGGTGCCGGCCTTCTGGCCACAACCCCAGGGCAACGTGTCCGTGTCCAGGTTCTTGGCGGGTAATTTAGGCGGTCTGCGGGCTGAGAATGTCCGGGGGCAATAGAAATTCCCCCAGAGCGTGGAGGTCTGTATGTGGTAATCAGCGCGACAGGCAGCACTGGCCGGCACTATTGCTGCTTCTCAGCGGCGAAGCAGCGTCACCTCCGCCGAACGACGGCACTTCATTAACTCCTCAGCGGGCTTTGAGGACAACTGGTGTCCATTCAGCGCGTATCGTTTCCAGGAAGAAGCCCCACCTCCAGTTACCCCCCCCCCCCCCCCCTCCCCCCATACACACTAGACGAAGTTGAGAGGAGTAGAGGCGATGCCGAGAGGATCATCCAGCTGCCCTGCTGATCGGGTCGGTTTTCTATTTTTCCGTTTTTCATGCGTTGCGCGCAGATAGTGCCATGGCATGCGGGGTACCGCACGTGGTTTTGCCAGTGATCGCGATAAACACCGGTGCTGTGGTCATTACTCTGGTTCGACCTTAGTGCCCACCACTTCTGTAGCGGATACTTGTACAGCTACATTACTTTGTTTTGCATCTTTGTTTACTTTTACTTTGTACAGCTACGTTACTTTGTTTAGCATCAACGCGTTTTCTTTGCCATTAAAGGCAGCTTGATCCCGCGTTGCGCCGCGATATTCGGTCGCCATCGGCTGTGTTTTCCTAGTGGGTGGTATATTTTGGTCGTCGACCAGGTACGCTCCGGAGAGCATCCGGTACGGCAAGTTCTCCTCCCTGTCGGACGTCTGGTCTTACGGCATCACGCTCTACGAGATGTTCTCGGGCGGCGAGGATCCCCGCATCCCCAACTGCGATGACCAAAAGCTGCTGGAGACGCTGGACCGTGGCGTGCGGCTCTGCTGTCCGCCCAGGTAGGGCGTGCGCGAAGAAGGCCGGCCGGCCGTGCGCTCGGTCGGCTGGGGACGAATCGGGCTGATCAAACGTCCTGTCCTCTCGCCTGGTAGAGAACGCACCGCAGTGTCATCTCCTGTGGCTCGTTATGTGTCAGGCGTCCGTTTTAAGTGTAAAACTGATAATACTGATGGCATGTGTGGGTGATAAGCATTACAAATATGTGACTCGCGACCCAGGCACAATTTCTTATTAAAAACTAAAGGGGCGACAAAGGGACGAATCTGAACGGAAGATATTCTCAGGTGGGTCCCGGGGGCAGGGCGGTCCACGGTCTATACTCCTATGAGAGCTCTGAGCCCCTCTCGGCTGCCACTCACTGGCCGCCGCCAGCTGAACTCTCCGTGGGCCGTGGACGCTGCCGCCGTGTCAGCCCAGTCAGGGCGGGCGGTGAGACACCCCGTGGTTCTGTCCAGCACCAGACCTGCCTGCGGGATGGGGGGCCCAGAAACCGGCGTGATGATTGGCTAATCCATTGTTTAACATGATGTGGGCTATTCAGTCCCTGTTTTCAGTGCAGTGTTCTGGCTCTCGGTGCACACGTTTGGTCATTGGTGGCGAGTCGTTATTGCACTCGTCAGGTGGCGCGTTAATACCGTGCGGCGGATACGGGAGGCGTGATACGCCGCAGCCTCACTGCCGGCTGCGGCTGCGACTGGGCTGGGATTGGCTGAGCTGAGCTGGGGCTGGGGCTGGGGCTGGGGCTGGGGCTGGGGCTGGGGCTGGGGCTGGGGCTGGGGCTGGGGCTGGGGCTGGGGCTGGGGCTGGGGCTGGGGCTGGGGCTGGGGCGGGCCGGGCCGAGCCGAGCCGAGCCGAGCCGAGCCGAGCCGAGCCGAGCCGAGCCGAGCCGAGCCGAGCCGGGCCGGGCCGGGCCGGGCCGGGCCGGGCCGGGCTGGGCTGGGCTGGGCTGGGCTGGGCCGGGCCGGGCTGGGCTGGGCTGGGCCGGGCCGGGCTGGGCTGGGCCGGTTGCCTCACGCTGCACGTGTGTCTGCGCCCGGTTGCAGGTGCCCGGTGGGGATCTACACAACGCTGATGTGGCCTTGCTGGGACGAGCAGTCGCACATGCGGCCCTGCTTCACACACCTGGTGCAGGAGGTCGGCTCGCTCATGAAGGAGTACTAGCCGCCGACCGGACTTGGGGCCGCTGCGAACCGGTTCGAGACGGGAGCACACCCCGGGCAGTGAAGCGCTCAGCGGCGACGTGTGCCCGCCTGCGGCGGTTCCCCGTCGGGGTGCGCCGGCCCTGCCGCGCTCTCACTCGAGGCCGCTTCCGCCGACTTGCCTGCACCGCCCGTCCGCGATGCCGCCGGGTCCATTGCGCTCGGGCTGTCACTGTCGCGCGGCGTGCAGGCCTGGCTCATGTGTCACCTGGGATGTTGCGCGTTTTGCGACGTAGGCCGTCGCGTTTTGTCTTGTGGACGGCGTTCACCTCGAGCGGCGTGACTAGAAGCTTTATTGAGAGCTTTATGCAAAGCCTTCGGCCTTTACATTCGGGTGCGGTGTGGGTGGGGGCAGGTGACACGCGCTGTGCCTCTATTAAGGAGTATGCGGTGGTGTATTCACTGTCGCGTATGGCCGATGTGAGCGTGAGGCGTCCCTCCTCACCTGGTCGACACGGCGCGTGCTGTGATACCGTCGGCGGCCGAGCCCCGCCGGCGCCGCGCGCTACGGTGAGCGTCCGGCGCTTGCTTCGGACGCGGCGTGGCAGCCGTCGCCGGGCGCCCAGAGACCTTGGTCGCTTCGGGGGCAGGCTCGGCTTGGTCTTGCTCCCCTTGGCCGTGCCGCTTCGTCGCCCGCTCTGGTGTGTCCTGTGACACGTCGCAAGGACACACCCGTGTTGTCTCTGTGACTTCGATGTCTTGGCGTACTTGGTGATCCGAGTGGCTTGGGGCGCTTCATTTTTGGTATTCTCTGGCCGTTGAAGTTGTTCGAAAGGCCCATCCATTCAGGACGAATTCTTGCGGACGGTGCCATGTTTGAAGCCAGCGCCCATTGCATTGTATTCATTTGCCCGCTGAGCACAGTGCGATTTATCGTCGATGTAGCTCGTGTCTTCATAGTCACCCCGTTGATTGCGATTATGTTCCCGTTGGAAATCTCGTCGCGCCGTTTTGCGGGCGCCGCCGTGTGGCGCGTCGTGACCGCCACACACGCGGTGCACGAGCTCACGTGCACGCGCCTGCTGGCGCTGGCCGTGCTGGCCACGATGCTGGGCTGGTGCTCTGGCGTGTGCTGTCTGTGCGGGACGCGTCGCGCTCGCCGCTGACCTGATCCGCCGTTCAGAGCCGCTCTTGGCTGAGCCGGGACAGTCTGCCGTCTCATGGCATGGTTTAGTCGTTCCCATATCTTTGTCATGTGCGAAATTAAGGGGCATTTCTGCCAACGGGCGTTTTAGAAGCACGTTGCTCGTGATCAGATAATCAACGAGCGATTTGGACATTGGAGGCCATGCGTGGAAAGTTGCGACACTTCCGCGTGGTTTTGACGTCAAATATTGAAGCTTTGTGTTTTCATCGTTTGTATTTTGTGCATGTAATTGCTTGTCGATTGGCTGCAATGTCGGGGGATGCGTCTTCGAGTTTGTGCGAATAAATAAACAGCTATTTTTGCCATGGAGTATAATGCAATGTAGATAAAAATCACTGTGATCATTTAAGTAGGGGTCACTGCGATACAAGGAAATGGAAGCAAACTCGGTATGTTTCTGCGTGTTTTTAGGATGTCTGGAGTCTGGACACGCCTCAGAAGCATTCCGAGTCTGTGTTTACGTCGGCTGGAGTCGGCGTGCGGCGTCACTCATCCGTGTTTTCTGTTTTTGATTGGCAGCTTGATAGTACTCGTATTATACTGGTACAGAAGTAGTATCGGACTGTGCTGGATGGTACCGGCATTGGGCTACCAGCTGGCAGTACCACACACTCGTGCGGTTTTTGTCCTGATGTTTCGGTTGATCGCCGACAGCGTATCACTTAGTGTTGACAGACCGGATGAAGCTGCGACTGGTTGCGATACGGCGTCAAATTCGAAGAACTTTTAATCGTGTGCGGAAGGTACAGTTTCGCCGTAGCGACGGTCTTGTGGGCGCGATTTCGGCTGTCAATGAAGATTGTGCACCAGCGGGCGTGACATTTTTCGTTCAGATCACGCCGTGACAGCCCACTTCATCCACCGTCCGCCTGCACATGGAACGGCGGCCTGCAGGGGTCATTGGCAGGACAGCCCACTTCATCCACCGTCCGCCTGCACATGGAACGGCGGCCTGCAGGGGTCATTGGCAGGACAGCCCACTTCATCCACCGTCCGCCTGCACATGGAACGGCGGCCTGCAGCGGTCATTGGCAGGACACGGCGTCCAAATAAAGAAAAACAACTTCTGCTCATGGTCGGGGCGTGCAACCTTGTCGCAATGGTAGTATGTAAGGCACTGTCAGCCAAAAATGCAAATGTTGCATGGGCATACATGACTTTTCAGTTCCAACCACTCCTTAAATGCGCATGTCTAACGTCGGGCTGTCTGCACCTACAGTGACGGCCAAGGAAGAACACTACAAATCAAGCCGGAGATTGTCATTTGGACCATTCTGTAGCAACGACATCGGACAATCAGCGACCAGTAGAACAAAGCCGTGCGATTTTTGTTTCGATTTTTTTACGATTGTTCCCCGACAGCGTATCACTCAATGCTGGGACGAGTGGAGCGGTGATTTTAGGAGGTATGACATCCAATTTATAAGAGCATTGCTCGTAGGCGGTGGGTGCAGCCTTGCCGTAACGATGTTCTTGTGGGAGCACTATCGACCGACAGTGTGAATCTCGCGTCAGCAGACATGACCTTTTTTGTTTAAATTACCCCCATGACGACACATCTAACGGTGCGTGCCTGTACAAAGTGGTGGCCTGAATATGTCGGCCCGGAAAAATGCCATCATAACTGAAAGACTGCTTCTTGGTGCATTTTATACGGCTTGTTTTGAACTATCAGCCGTCAGCACAACAACGAGGTCTGATTTTCATTTCGACTTTTTCGGACAATCTCCGACAGTGCAAACTCAATGTTGGCGGGCTGAAAGGAGGGGTGATTTGTACAGAAACGGTGGCCATTTTCAAATATTTTTACTTGTGCGTGGTAAGTGTAACGTAACGATATCATTACCGGAGCACTATCAGCCTTCAATGTAAACTGCATAGGCAGACGTGACCTTGTTCAAATCACCCCCAGACGGCGCAGGGCTGACGGCGGCCTGCTTGCTCATAGAGTGAAGCTATTGTGCGGCGGCCCGGGAAATATCCTTTTGATTCAATTGGAAGATCATCACTTTGTGCATTCGATAGGACTTATGTCGAACTGTCAGCTGCAAGAAGAGCAAACCCGTCCGATTTTTCCCCATTTCTGGGGATGACCCCCGGCAGCCTACCACTGAACGCTCTCGGGCTGGCTGGAGGGGATGATCTGCAGGCAGGCCCCCGTTGGCTCTGATCTGTCAGGGAAGGATTTGAACAAACAAGTTCATATCTGCCGATGCAAGGCTTACATTGACGGCTGATAGCGCCGCGGCAATGATATCGCTATGGTAAAGCTGCACTTCCCGGACCCAAGTAGAGGTATTTCCGATGGGCGCCGTTCCTGTGCTAATCACCCCTCCAGCCGTCCTGCCAGCGTTGAGTGATACGATGTCGGAGAACCGTCCGCAAAAATTGAAACAACAATCGCACCAGCTGTCGCGCTGGCATCTGATAGCCGGGTACCAACGCCATCGAATGCACCAAGCCAAAATATTTTAGTTTATAAGTTATTTCCCGGGCCGCCGTATTATAGCCATCACTCTATGTGCAGGAAGTCCGATGTCAACCCTGCGCTGTCAGGGGTGATTTGAGTAACAAATTTTATGTCTGCTGGTGCAAAATTTAGATCGCCGGCTGATAGCGCTCCCACAATAACGTCGTTACGGTATTTCGAATTTGGGGGTATTTTCACGAGGGGGTATTTCGAATTTGACGCCGCATCTGTGCAAAGGGCCCCTTCAGTCGGCCCGCACACATGAAGTGAATTAACGCTGCATGAGAGGGAATGTTTCACATTTGAGGATATTGAAGCAGGCATCAGATATGATGGAACAAGCTTACTCATCATTATTGGTATCTTTGTAAGTGGAAAAGACTGCTTTAGACAGTATAATTATCTGTTCGGTAAATATGCTCCTCAATGCGTCATAGTTTGATTACGTCATCATACCTTGCCAAACATTGACTGAGAGGCAATTGACGGCCGTTGTATCTGGAAATCGCGCTAACGAACACCAGATATGAACGCCTCGACGACTATATATTTTTTGACCGTGATCGCCCTTTGGCTTATGGAATTTGCAGGATTTCAATGACGCCAATATGACGTCATGAATGCGAAAGGTAACCTTAAGATGCTCTCCCCGATACACCTTTGCCCATTTTCGCGGGCTTGTAGCTCAGACGCTAAAAGGACTTAGGTCTCAGGAAGGGCAGGATTGTGAAGACCACCCACAGAACTTCAAGGTGGTTGTTTCAGTTCAAAACCCCATATAAATGTGGAACACTCCATTTCACGACGCTTTTCAGAATATAGCAATTTTTTAAGACGACTGTGTAGAACTTCTTTAGACCTCAATATATCAACCAGTATCGGAAGTCAGTGGCATTGCATCATCATACTCGTAAAAAAGACAAATACGATCTTTTATCGGTGACGTCGCTCGCAGTATGCCGTAGCGTCAAAAATGGCACTGATCGATGATTTTTAGGTGGGTCAACCAGGGGCGGATCCCGGATTGCATCAAGGGGGTACGCAGCATTCACGGAACCCTCCCAAAAAATCCTCGCGTTCCGGCTATTTGAATTTAAGATGAACAGTATAACACACACACACACACACACACACACGCACACACACATGTATGTATATATATATATATATATATATATGTATGTATATCATTGTATTCAAGGTATCAATGACAGTTGCACAACTTAATATATACATACGTATATATTAAGTTGTGTCACCGTCAAAGACCCGGAAACTAGAACGATGCATCAAAAAGCTCGTCAATGCTGAGTCAGCAGTTGTTTTTAATCAAACATGTATCAAAGAAAGGATTCTGCCAAAATATTCCAACATAAAGCTACATACGTATATATATATATATATATATATATATATATATATATATGCACACACACACACACACACACACACACACACACACACACACACACACACACACACACGCATCACTCACACACACACACACATATATATATATATATATATATATATATATATATATATATATATATATATATATGTATCAACGATTCCATGATATCAAGGAATGTCGTGAGATGGTAATCTGCATCTTGAATGCTGACGAGAAGGTCCGTCGCATCAGAAAAGATCCAGAAAACCCAAAACTAAGCTTAACAAAATGATCACTGCTACAAATGCCGCTGTTGGTGGCATGCGCTGCCCAAGATAACGGAGTGACTTTGCGCCTTGTTATGCCCATGGATCTGTAAAGACTCACAAAAATGGCAAACCCATTCGTCCAATAGTTTCTCAGATCTCTTCACAAAATTATATAATTTCAAAACGTCTTCTGAATTTCAAATGGTCTTTCGTCCCCTGGTTTTTCATCGTCAACGGATAAGTTATTGATATCCTGCGACCTCGCCAACCTAAGGGTCTCCTAACTTCTCTGTGTGTTGAAAATCATTTAACAAACGTGCCCATTGAAAAACCATATCCATTATTCTTGACCGCGTGTGCAATCATTCCGAAATTCCCCTTTGAAATATCAAAGCACACTCTTGAACAGTTACTAAAAGCCTGTATGCTGGAAGCCCCTCTCCGCGGGTCTCATGCACAAATGTATTACCAAATTGAGGGTGTTGCGATGGGCTCTCCTCTTGGACCTTTATTCACTAATTTCTGTATGGGACATGTGGAAGCCGACACACTACGAAATGACAACATAAGACCGGACATTTACTGTCGCTGTGTAGACGATATCTTTTGTGGAGGTTAGAAGCATTAACCAACGGAAATGTCCCAAAAACAGTTTTGAAGTTTTAAAACTCTGGTTTAACAATGGTTTAAAACTTACAAAACAACTTGCAAAACATAATACGTGACGTGACGTGACGTGACTAGTGATGGACAACGACAGAGATATAGAACGATTGTATAACGAAAGAAGACTAACAACGGACGGCGCCCAAATGCTGACAGTGAGTGTCCTCGACGCCACAAAAGTAGCATGAAGAGGTAATTCCTTGACGTGCATTTAAGCATTGCTCTGATTGGACAGGAGTGGTACGGAATTAGTACGAATCAGGCAGATAGTGGTGAACAACGGATCTTCAAATTCTGACGTTGGAAACGAAATACAACCAAATATGACAGGACGTTTTGAAACTTTGACACTTTCACAACAAACCAAGATATGACAAACAATCAACCGTTCAATGGTATTATATGAAACGATATCTGCCCACAAACTAGACGAAAAAACCTACGTGAAATCATCTCTCGACATGTACAAGGCAAGAATGATCACAAAATAAACATTGCCA